TGTTCCCGACGTTATACGTAAAAATTGTAAGTTTTTGTATCAAGAGGGGGGGGGGGATGAGTATTGGCGACGTGCGAGATCATCAAAATGGGTAATGGAGCATTCGAGCGTGAGAACCACTGCTCTAGTCAACAGATACCCACTAGAAAGTAACTGCAGCTGGTTGTTATAATATCAACTAGATCATGATCGAACGATACTAACCTTTGCTTTGCCTTGACAATTAAATGTCAATACGAATTCACCAGGTCTTGTCTCACTCTGCCTTACTAAGAACAATCCGTGCCCGTCAACACCGTTGTGAAGAACCAAACGAGCACTAACCCCTCGTGATAATCGTGCATGAAACCATGGATAAATCTCAAGACCGGGTGGAAAGGCACGCATTGTGATCGGTATATGTGTCTCTACGCAGAACGTTGAAGTCATTGAATGCACATTATTTAATGACCTTAAATAACATTCAATGTTTAATATTTCTCAGTCAGCATAACGTTTAATATTTGATTATTACAAAAACTTGATTAGCACAAACCAGCACTTTTTCCCGCAAAATCAGAAAGTTTTGGTTTCTCGCAAATGAACAAATTTTTGCTGACATGAGAATGATCAATTACTAAGTGTACTTAATCAGAGTCACCATCATCTTGCTACACTTTCGAGGGAACGAATTGTTGTATGCTCCCAGCTTGTTACATTTTATAAAATAAAATGACTGCGTTGTAAAAATAAAATGGAATTCAGAACGCTGAGTCAAAAACAGCGTTGCTTGNTAAGGAATGTAACTGTTTGACCTTGTTGAAGGAAAACGTCGAGAATTGGAGAAGTTTGTACGTGCGATTGGTGGTGCAGACGGTTGTCGAGGTGGACGTTGTTCAGGTAAACTCAACTCAACACCAGGAATACTCTCACGAATAACCGCTAACCATTGCTGACAATCCTCATGATTTCTTGCCTCTATCACATATTCAACCTTAATTATATCATTCAGTCGCAAGATTCTTTCAAATCAAAACATATTGATTGATAGAAAATATCATGAGAAGTACGATCGATGAAGTAGCACAGTAATTGTCGGATGAAATTGCAAATGCTTGACGTTCGAGGTCGAGAGCAACAGACAGGTAGAAATGAAATGAGCAAAAATTATAAAATTGATGAAACGAACCCCGTTGAAAGCGCGAATTGCGAATATCGACTCATTTGAGTCCTCAAATTCAAGTGGTGTCGTCTCTCGTGCTTCAGCGATCAAAAAACAAAAAATTCCTGATTTAGCTCGATTACTCTGGAAAACACTCAATTCTTTTAACGACATCTAATAATGACTGTATGCTTAAATCAACGGAATAATGGTGAGATAACGGAGGGTACTCAGGCATGCCACGTTGAAAAATTGACGACAAATGCTAGCTATGAGCAGCATACTGAGATTCGTTTTGAAAAAAATTATATACGACAGGAAACGCTCGAAGGTAGTTCGTGATTTGCGGTTGAATTGTCAACGTTACTGGAAAAGATAATAAAAAATACCTTGGGTGGGGAATAGAACTCTAATAAATAACCACCCGCAGTTTTCACCAAACACAATCGACATTTGCGCCAATGTTTCGTTTCGAGTTCGAGACCACTCATGTACCTTGAACGAGGAACGATCAAATGCTGCATTAATTGAAAGCTAGATTACTGCTTTAAATGTATTCATGAAACATCACCGACCTAACATTACTTTCTTTGATTAATTCAACAGCTGTTTTTGCTGGAAAACGTGATCGAAACCAAGACAGTCTTTTTGTTGACGGCGTTGGAGCTGATATACCCAGTGATGAGGAAGGTTGGTGATGGGCGAATCGGGAATCGAACTGTAATTAGAAAGTAGTGCTTATGCGTGTCGGTGTCATATTCACATTCAATTGGAACCATTAGAATCAGCATTAGGGCTGTTATTCAGATACTGTTGGTTTGCCGATCGCTCTGGGTGATCAGTAAAATATTNAACAAGCTTGGATGTCTTTGTTCAGCAGCACCTTTCCGGCATTAAATTACAGATTTAGGAAAGCCTCATCCCCGCCTCTGGAGGATCGTAGACCTTCCGAAGGTTCGGAAAAGTAACGTTTTGTGCGTTCGTGAACAAAGAAGCATACTTTCGATTTGAATCGATGGCTAAAGTAAATGAAACTAGCCTGCAGTGTGTTGGATGAGGGTCTTGTGGCGAGTGAGGTAATCTCAGAACGAGATCGAGTGATATTCATTGCATCCTGACTGCTCCCCGCACGATTATTCACACCTTCGCATTCATTCGATGATCGCCATCTTGCACTTGCATTCGCATTAACACTTTCGTTATCACAGCTGAAGCTGTTACGATTGCTGAACACTTTCGAGCAACACTTCAACGGAAGTATCGTTTTCACTTTCGTTGCATTTGCTGCTATAGCGTCCAATACTGCTGCTTCCTGACACATCTCTCCATTACTGCTTGCGTTCTTAGTTGAACTGCTAGTTGTAGCGATAGTGGTGGTACTCGTATTAAGACTGTTTGAACTTTTATTGGTTATTGACGTTGGAGTATGATTTTGATAATGTTGTTGATCAAGAAGATATTGTTCTCGTTGCTGAAATTTTTGCAATATTTTAAATTAAAATCGAAAACATTTCTATCATTCCATTATGTGACTTTAGTATGGAGCGATAAAGATTCAAGATAAGTGTTATTTGTTCAAGCATATCAGAATATTTCGCATCAGCTATTTCAAATTTCAATTTCGCACATCAGTTGTGCAAAATTTTTGACATTCAACATTTTCGTTCGACAACTGGTTGGAGCAAACAAAAATTATTCATTTGATGTTCCACGCAGTAGGAGATTTTCGATGCACTTTGAGAATGTACGTACATATCTCATCTATTTTTTGGTGAATGTCTCAACTACGTGATTTTTTTGCATGGGGATAATGGAATACGCATTTATGAGCACTAATGATTTACGGATTCGTGAACATACATAGCAACGAATGCGAATGATTTTTGCAGTTGCTAGAATGACAGCAATTGAGTGGGCGATAAAAGAGAACAATTGCATTTCATCGATAATTTAATGGGAAGTTTTACAATCGATTCATAACGAATCAGAGAGTTTATTTAGTTAGAAGTTGCGATATGAGGATGAAACGAACGGAAGGGCATAAAAAAAGATTGATGTTTGCAAAATAATAAATAGATTTGTTATTCGAATAGATATTTGTCAAACTGATATTGATTAGTGATTGTGACGGGAACAGAGTTTTAATTGATAGTGGTGTGAAGCAACTGAATGAACAAAAATCATCCATCTCGAATCGAAATTAGCACCAGGTGAACGAATACAATTTTATGATAAAGCAATATTACGAGCTGAACGATAGGTTTGGTGATCGGAAGATATATGAAAGAATAAACTCGGTTACGCCAGAGATGAGTATTGAAGTGGATCATTTTGGTAAATTTTTTGTGCGATAGAATGTTTCGAATAATGCTGCATAATGAGGGATATGGATGTAACAAATGAAGAATGAACCTACGGATAAGTGTGCTGAGGGAAGTGAATTGATCAGGTCTAAGGACGATGCATTCAATCGTTCGAGCAGTTCATCTCGAAGGGTATTCGTAAAGTGCTGAACAACGTCCGACGCTAACACATCAGTTTGACCCAAATGCTCACTATTCAACACATAGTGTCGCCAACTTTCCGCAAATTTGAACGCAACTGATTTCGCGTATTGTGTGCAAAACTGCCGCCATCGCTCCCGTTCGGTACCTGAGTGCACGAGAAAATCTTTTAACTGAGACAATCACTATCATGCAGTCTGATCGGTTTCTTTCTACTTTAGCTGAGAATAGTTCTGAAGTGATTAAATCAATGAACAATAAGATTGCTCAGATATTTCGAGAAAATCAATTATTCCATTTGAAAAGGTGCACCGTTTTGAGTATTTCCTGACTAATAGCGATCAGAAAAATTATTCCATGAAAAACATTGAAAATCCAACTAGAATAAAAATCCAACTCAAATGGACCCTTATTGCCAGCGATGGCTGATGACAGCTTAAAATTATTCAGATTATTTAAATAAAATACGTCACGCAGCACAACTCTATAATTTTTCCGGTAAGTAGCATTTGGATTATTTTAACAATTATATTAAGAATTCTCCATGATGGTGCCACCGTCGATTGTTATAATAATATCACGGTCTGTGCTGAATATGGCGATGCCAAAAAGATGTTGAAGCGAATGTGATATTAGTGATTAGCAAGTAGAAAAAGATTCACTTACCTTCCATTCAATGAAGTGCTCAACACTTAATGATACATACAGTAATAAGTGACCGTAATACCTCAGAACGGAAATAATTAATAGCACACACCACAGAATGTGTCCATTAATCTATCTCTCGTTTTCACTTTCTTTCTGTCTATTTCCATTCATCGCAAAGTCGTCATTCTTGAGATTTGTGCACTTAACAGCAGTCAATCAAACAATCGCTCACAGAACATCGATAAAATTCACAAACAATCAGAAATTGCAAATCGAAATGACGATTGAATCGTGTGCCTAAAAGCTTTTTTAGTTGATTGAACGAATTGTTGCATAGAGGACAAATGTAACTTTCTGCGAATGATAACGTCTCTTGTCAAATACAATCAAATATCTGCATAGTGAGTGCACTGATTAACTAGAATTAGAAAATAGACAACTAAGGACGACTCAACTAGAATTCAGTTATAGAACATCAATCTCGTTGATCAGGAAAGTCGATAAGATAGAAAAGATTCATTAAAAATTCATCACTCTTTATACGAAACAATAGATATGTGAGTATGAAAGAGCATTTAGCTGCTAGATCGACTACCAAGTTGCGAAGAAATGCGTGCCAGGTGTTAGTCACGTATAGTTGCTGTCAGTGAACAGTATAAGTGAACGAGGGACTCTTAGCCGAAAAATATTACATTACATTATATGTTTGAAATACATCAGAGAGTAAAACCTCAGAAAGTGGTGTTTCTCGGACGAGTGTCGATTTATGAGAAAGGTTCCGTAAGTTCATGAGGCAGGTTTAGATTTTAGATTTAGCTGTGCATTAGCAAGTGATATGTTAGGAAGATCAGTCAACATACACACAAAACTATATTCACTGTTTATTTGTAACGATTTGAGAGCAACTTCTGGTCTGTGTTTAGATGTTAGGTGACCTGTACATTTAAGATGTGAACAGCAATATGTATTTTACAGATGCTTTCTCCCCAACATTATGCACTACCTGCCGAGCATAACCAAACTGAGTAAATAAATTATTTGTCAGCTTTGATCTGGTGTGCAGTTGTGATAAGTACTTTAAAAATTAATTATCCTCATGTGGGAAGAGTCTGTATTAATAGATTTTTTTCAGTGAGTCTCTATATCACCCATATCTATTTACATATAAAATTATTGAAGACTGATTTGAATGACTGCTCATGGGATAATTTATACAACGCTTTTTTGTTATCAGAACGTTCGTGAAGGTCCATCAGGAAAGTGAATAAATCTAAAACAAATACAGAAGAGAGAATAAAGGAGGAACATTGATTAAATGATGAAGTGCTACTAATCGCATAATATGACATAAAAATCGTTTGCTTGTCGAATAATATCAAGAAATACGTCTGGGAAGAAGCTTCTGAAATAACACGCATTGATCATTCATTCAGGAAAAACAGCAAGCAACTGATGTTACAGAACTGTAGACAGATGGACTTAAAAAAATAGATTAGAAGTTGCTGTAAGATTACAGAAAATCTCAAGCTGCACAAATTATGAAACATTTTTTTGAATGCGTTCAACTCCAATGAAGAGCTTTAGCTTCAGTTTTATTTTCAATACTTCAAAATATAAATGATTACCTCATGCTGAACCATTTTTATGAACCAAACATTTATCATGAATAAATTATATTAAGAGTTAGCTTAGCGACAAAGTCACCAAACGATGGTTCATGAGAATTCAAGTTAAGCGTCACCAATTTTTCAATCAGACCTCAATCTGTGGTGCATTCTGAACTTGTGATCATTGAGCAGCAACTGCTCAAGAGCAAGAATCATTGAAGACCTGATGCAGCGAAGAGAGTCTTCGTAAAGAACAACTATTGCGAAATTAATGGATATAGAATGTAGTTAGGATGTGATTGAAATTAAAGAAAATTAATGAAAGAGATGGTGTGTAAATCCAACTCGACTAGATCTATCTAAACATTTCTAGTCGAAAGTGAATTGGATCAGGATGAGATATATGATAGCGAAACAATAATATTATGTCTTGATTGCTGAAGTGACTTCGTTTTTGAAGATAATCAAGTGTGACAAATGCATTATATTTGTGGTCAGAAGACCGGAAGTGGAGATAACATGTTGAAAAACATACAGGCATTCATTCATTCATTCATCCACCCAACCATCCATTCATCCGTCAGTTGGTGAAGCACCTCTCTAATGAGGACCAACAACTAAATAGAAAGAGGAAGGTTATCACTGCTATCATATATCTGCTGTGTATTGCTACGCACTGCTCTCGAATTAAAGATTATACATTCACAATGAATATATTATACTCCAATCAAATATTAAACATTTTACAAGATATACATACACACATACAAATAACTGCATTACGCTTTAGATTGTCGATGTGATACGGTATTCGTTAGCCGTCAACTTACTGGCAATTGGCAACAAATTTTAGGTAATTTAATTGGATATGCGAAAACATTAAATTCGAAATATCGAGCGAAATGCTGAATGCTCTGGGGAATAGGATTAAAGAAGATGCAATTGTTGGTTTACTGCATAATTATGAAACTGCATGCCGCTCAAAATAATACTATTCACACGAGCTATTCGTAGACATATTGCATCCTTTATTAACGATAGCACATTCGAGAAGAACTTTTCGTTAGAGAGAATCACAGAATGACTGATTGCTGCGAAGATGCGTTCAAGTATCATCGTTCTAAAATATGTTTCATTGGTTTCCGATTCGAGAGGTTCAAAAATTTCAAGTAGAAGTAATATGGAGAAGTAACGTTGGATAAACAGGAATTTCAGATGATTCTTAAGTGAACATTCCAGTTTTTACAACAACGAGCGTCGATCGATCGAACGGTTGAAGGCTAGTACTTAAGTCGATAGGTTCATTCAAAAGAATGTCACTCGAAAGTTGAATCTTTTCTGGACGACAAGACATATATCAAAAAAAANAAAAAAAACTGATGAAAAGTTAAACATTCAATGCAAACGAACCAAACAAAAAACAAAGAAAAAAGATGAATGGAATTCTCGAGTTTCAAAGAGTAATGTTGGATATGAAATACTTCTGGGACAAAACTCGACCGAAATTTCGTCAAGAACTTATGGACTGGTAAGATTTCGCACATACCCTAGTCAAAGTCAGGTCTCGATTCATACCTATTATTGAATGAACGGATAGGCTTATTTGCCGGATAGTTTCCGTATTCAGAATTCTACTCAATAGCTGATATAATAGCTGGAAAGTGTTGGAGAGCGTAACGGATGAATGATGAAATAAGATCGGATGCTACACGCCATTAATAATAGAGCCATCCATCCATTCGAAGGGAAACATCAAGTGAAAGTTATCGTTGCGGAAAATGTGAAACGGATATGATGAGTCGGCGCAAAAAAGGATGCTAAACCATGTGCTGATGCTCAGTGGAGAAGAAACTATTCGAGTTAAGCGGGGGAGAATGAGGCAAAAAGGTGTGAAAAAAGTAACAAAAAAAGAAATAACATTGGCAGGAACTATGGTAACAAATTGCAGTATATCCATTCAATGAACTCGAATGAAGAATTACGAGGATAAAGCAAGCATTTGAAAGATTAAAAGAAAAACTATTTCGAATCAATCGATCGATCGATACGATTTCTATAACCATCCAGTTAGTGCCTCACCGTTCTGAACGAAAAAATTTTTTGCGGATATTATAAATTGAAAATCTGGATATCATATCAGGAAAAGGTTGCTTCCACTGGAAAGAAAAGAAAACGAATGACATTTTGATGTCACCTACATCGCACACGGATTTAGCCTTCAATCGGAACTGATGATATGAGAATAAAGTTAAAAATTGCGTATCGGATAATCGTACTATCAGTCTCTTGACACGCATCACTCACAATTTTACGTTTAGGATACATATTCTATAATTTCATTTTCACATTTCTTTGTCTTGAAATCATTTTGACATCGTTCGTTGTACTTTGCGCTCATAAAATATTCATTCAAAGTTTGCTGACTGATCGTAGTCTCTATAACATCACCAGAAAGAAAGTAAGTGCTAGAGCACAATGTGCGTAAATTGGCCAAACAATCAAAAAGTTGAACGCTTTTCTTATTCTCTACAAATGATTGAAAGCAACTGTACATTCAGAACGGAAATATAATAAATTACAATATTCATTCAAAAACATTTGTTCCTGGATCCGTTACTGAAACCAAGCACAAACAGAATTTTGGAGCTTCTGACGTTTATGATTCCCTCTTAATTCAATGACATTATGACCTCGTTGTTCTTGAAACGGTTCATTTATTCATGGATTCTAATTGAAATATTTCAAATTTCGTTCATTTTAGACTGTCGAATTTCTGACACATGTCGTCACCAATTCCTTATTCTACCTATAAATGAGATTCTATTTATCTTCCAGTTTTGTGATTTTAATCTATTACTTCAGTTCAATTTTATCACTTACCTCTCGTTACGGATTTAAATACGCCATTTATTTGCATATATTTAGAT